ATATTCATTTGTACAGAATATTCTGTATATGATTTTGTGGACTCTATATGAATAAAATGTGAATTTCCAGAGAATCTCATAGAATTAATAGACTTTAGGCTATAATGCATCTGGATAAATTTTAGTATATTCTGCACAGAATATTCAATATTCAAGGATTATTTGATTAATATAAAAATTATAAATAATTTTGGTCCAATATCACTCATTTAATTGATATTTTATTTAATAATAAATTTTCTAACATTTTTCAAATGTATATTATAATACTTTCATATCATAGCATCAGATTTATGCAAAAATAATTTAATTAAATATTTAAAAATAACTAATCTAAAAATATATAAATAATAACTTTATGATAATATTTTTATAATAAGTGAATTATATAATAAATGCAACATTTTATAACATAATCATACGTTTATTTGTTTCAAACTAAACTCAATGTAGAAAATACTTTTAAAAACTTTCTATTTTGACCCATATTTTAAAAATCATTTAAACAACAAAATGTTTTTTAAAATTTCGGTGATTTTAATAAATTCAAAGTCAACACAAAAATATATCCCTTTTATACTCGTTGTGAATATTAAACACTATTTTAGGACTTATTATTCAGACATAGACTTTAAAATAAAATAATGTGCGATATTTCACATACAGTTCACACTATTTGTTCACAATGCTATACATGTATACAATACTATACAATTATGTAGTATTTTATTATATAATATTTGTACAGAATTTAAAATATTAGACAATTTCTAGTGAAACTGTTTTATGCAAATTCTTAGTGTTTATAATTGAATACAATTTCTAGTATAATATTTTGTAATAAATATTACTTTAATGCAATTAAATTTTGGTATTTATCCAAATATTATTTACTAAATCCTTAACATGATTAGGAAATCCAATTATTTCGATTAAATAAGTGATAAATAAGGTATGAGCTGATCACCAGATTTCTGATCCAAGTTTTCAATCAAATATTGAGCAAAAAACTTGTAATCATTTTGTTGAATGAGTTTTAGTTTGGAATCAAATGTGGGATCAGTTTTGAGACAATTCTCATGAATAGACCATAAGTTATATTCCGATAATACTTGTGAACACTCGGGTCGAGTGCTATGAATGGGAACACACATCAAGTCAAGGATTTGATCCAATTTAATGAATTTGTCGTATATTTCATATCCCGAGTAAATACTCAATTCAGGGGAACTGTAATTAAGAATTTTAATGCATTTTAATGAATTATGTCAATAAACTAAACATCTCAATAAGTACTTATAATCATTCAAATTAAACAATTTGTGTGCAATGATAGCCAGGCTATAAATATCTGCTTTCGCTGTGTATTTAGTTTGCAATTTAACTTCCGGTGGCATGTATTGGCGAGTACCCACTCCTGTGGTATGACTTCCAGGGGAACTGGAGTGCAATGTCGCCAATCCAAAGTCACCTAACTTTATAAACCTCCCGTTCCTAACCTTTCGCGCAATTAATATATTGTCGGGTTTGAGGTCTCTGTGAATTATCTGTGGATTCAATTCATGTAAATATTGAACGCATTCTAAGATCTCTTTGAATATATGACACGAAATGTAAAACTCGATTGAATTCATGGATTTTCCCGGTTGTCGACCAAAGACTTGTGGTTTGTTTTGGAGAATATTCTGCAAACTTTGGGAACACAACTCCATACAAATGTAATACATATCGATATAGCACCATTGACTCCTGTATTGGACACAATAATCTGACCGAACTTTTATTAAGTTTTTCATTTCATGCATACATTCCAGCAAATGGTCATTATCTGAAAAGTGTAATAATTGTTATAATTAATTAATTTTTTGCGTAAATAATTCAAAACTTTTCAAAATATGATTATACAAATACTGTAAAATAGTGATGCGAAATATATCTAAATGTCATTAAATTACTTTCATATAATATTTTCTTAACCGCATATTCTAGTCCATCATATTTACGCTTAACAACAACCACTTCCCCAAAAGATCCCGAACCTAATGAATGTAACTCTTCGTACAAACGGTTGTAATCATTCACTTCAGAAAAATCTATAAAACAAATCAAATAAATTCATTCATAATATTTGGTTAAAGTCATTTTAAAGCACGTACTCTGAGGGGGGTGAATGTTCAAGTAAAAATTAAATTAATTTAATTAACCGGATCCCATACCTATCTAAAATCTTTTGGAAAAGTAAATATATTACAGTAAACTTGTATATTAGTTGAATTAACTATTCTTTGAAATGATTAAAACAAAATAATTTATTTAATTATGTAATTTTTGGGTGAATAAACTAAATTTCGAACTAACTCGGTAAATAATTGAATAAATTAAGTTTATTTTTATTAAATAAAATAGAATAAATAAATTTCTGTCTAGACAAATTTTCAAACAATAAATAAACAAAACTAAGTATATTTTAACTATTTTGTAAGCTTCATTTAACAAATATTGAACACAATTTAATTAATGTTAATTAAATTAGCCTCATATTAAGCTCAATTAAGTTTAATTTGTATAGTTTACTATTGTATTTTGTAATATAATATACATTATTTTTAAAATCTAAATTCATTCAATTTTTGTGTTTTGGCAATCTCCCAATTTAGATAAAATGTTGGTTAATTTATTTAATAATTTATTTAAGTTCATTCTGCATATTAGACAATATTAGTATTACACTATAAGTTTTTATATATAGGAGTATTAATCATGAATTGTAATGACTGACTCACTGTACGTACTTTATGAATGACACCTAAAACAAATTCATACCATTGTTTGATAACTCTTTTATAGAAGTTAATATTTTGTCCAAATATTCCAAACATTTTGCACGAAATTCTTCGCAATTCTTATAATTATATTCCTTATAATCACACAAATCAATGGTTTTATGAGTCAATTGCAACACATTTGCGAAACAGTCGAAAAAATTTGTATAATTTGTTTCAACTATAATATCGTTTGTTGTATCTGTAATAACATACACTTTCCCATTCACTATAGCATTTAGCTGACACATGTTACCCTTATGTGAAAACATTATAATCATTTCTGTGAACCTCTTATCAGTATTTAATAGTTTGGGTGAAGTTTGATACAAATATTCGTCGTTTTCACTCAAATATTCTCCGCAAAAATGAATGAATCCATCGTTTGATAAGAAAAGAGTGAGACCGCCACCGGAACAGATAGTCTTGATATCACTCAAGCCTGAAATGAGTTGTGGTTCCCATATATCACGCAATGAATTGTGTCCCAAATTATTCTTTGCATTTCGACCCCAACTAAACACCTGTCCCTCCGATGTGATGGCAAATGAAGAGTAAAAACAACACAAAATGCTTTTAATTTCGTAAATAGGATTGAAATTCACTCGAAATGTGTCCCCTTTTCGCATATCTCTGTCTGGTCCACAACCTAACTGTCCGTACAAATTATCACCCCATCCATAGACATAGCCATCGCTTGTGAGAATCATTGTGTGATAAAAACCACAACTTACTTGATTAATAAACTTATTATCGATGTATTTTGGATCAAAAGGTGCCGGCTCTACATACACGTTATCCATATTGGGTGGCATTCCTAACTGTCCCTCATTATTATAACCCCAACCATAGAGACAATTGTGTTGAGTGAGGGATATCACAGACTTTGGTCCATTGAAGAATTGGGTGATATTCTTGTGACACAATTTGTCGATAATTTTTGGCAATGATTATATGATTAATGATCGCAACTCACTATATAAGGGGAACCTAAACTACATTCAATATGAGCTGGGGACAATCATAGTAACGTAAGCTTTTTTATATTTATTATATCTAATTATTAATTTTATCCAAAAGTCAATTATTCATAAAATATACACAGGTTTAAGCTAAACGAGTAGTACTATGACTTATCAGGTTAAAATATTACTGCATTTTAAAGTATTAATAAA